TGCAAGGTCATCTGCCTATGTGAACGACAACCCAGCGCACCAGGACGTGGGATACTGACTGAACTTTTAACTTCAGCTGCATTGCTTTTGAAAAGCTGCTCAGCCACGACAGACCTGGCCGGTATGAAGGGCGCTCATTGTCCCAAGTGAATGCGAAGAGCGTTTTGATGGTGGTGAGCCCCAGCATTATTGGGCCTTTGGCGGCAGGTGGAATTGCAGCGACGGTGGTGTGATTGCGTATCATGGGACATTGCAAGAATGCGTGTGCCCTGCCAGAGGATTGTGGGCTAGTTGCAGCTCAGAGGCGTTCTATCGTTGCATGAAGCCGGCAGCACTAACCATGACCGCCGTGTGGCAGGACGTCCAAAAATCTGAGGTTGGAAGTAAGAACGTTGGCAGAGTTTGAGATCCATTGTTGAGATCATCGCGCTTCTATCAGCTGGTATTCTTTTTATAATTGTCTTAGAGAAGATGTCCTTTCGTTATTCGCCAGTCAACTCGAATCGACATCCAAGCATAGATGTGGTTGACGTACGGGTTGTCACTGGGACCTCCCACGAGATAGGTAGTCTTCAGCAGCGTCCAAACCTGTTTGAACGTTCTGTCGCAAGGCGGGAGTCGCAATGTGGATTAGTGCTCGCAAACAGTGAGGCCATACAGAAAACAACGTATGCACAAGTAGATATGTAGATAGATGATTAGGCATATCCAACACTAAGGCAGCTAAGACCTTTTTAGATATGTAAATAGTTTAAAAAAGGTCTCCTAGCGCTAGAAAAACTCCTATATCTAAGCGATATGCCCTGGAGTGAAATAAGGCTATATACAGGTATAGGTGGGTGAAAGAAAAATGATATGGCTCTAAAAGAGACGAAATCGAATAAAGAGCCGTTAATAGGTGTAAAATAGGTGACTATATAGCTTATACTAGATATTTATCCTCAACCTCTTATCGAGGTATTAATAGAGGTACTAATAAGAGTATTAATAGCGAATAGCTGATTAAATAATTACTAACGCTATAGTCTTATAATAGACCTACTAATCTATAGTTCTATTGTTGCGATTAGTGCTCGTAAATAGTAAGATTATATATAAAATAATATATATATAAGTAGATATATAGATAGATAATTAAATATATTTAATACTAAGGTAGCTAAGACCTTTCTAAACATATAAATAATCTAAAAAAGATTCCTCAGCGCTAGAAAAACTCTTAAAATAATCTAAGACGTTATTCAAAGAGGGCGAAGATCTTAAGAAAGATTTCTAACGGTATCTACTATAGTAAATAATAGAGATCGATAGTACTAGCGCGAATAGGCTAAAAAATGCTGGTGTCGTAGTGAATGATAGATAAACTGAATGAGTGACGAAAAGGCGGTATGAATCGCCGGCGTTATATGCTGATATTATAGCCCCTCTACGGAAAAATTAGTCTAAATAATAATTCTTAATACTAAGTTGTAATCTCTCTGCGAAAGAATTAGTCTAAATAATAACTCTTAATAATAACTCTTAATATTAAGATATAATCTCTCTACGAAAGAATTAATATAAATAATAACTCTTAATATTAAGTTATAGCCTCTTTACGAAAGAATTAATCTAAATAATAGCCTTTAATTAAGTTGTAGTCTCTCTATAAAAGAATTAGCTTAAATAATAACTCTTAATAATAATTCTTAATATTAAGATATAGTCTCTTTATAAAAGAATTAATATAAATAATAGCCCTTAATATTAAATTATAGCCCCTCTATAAAAGAATTAATCTAAATAATAATCTTTAATAATAACTCTTAATATTAAGATATAGCTTCTCTACGAAAGAATTAATATAAATAATAGCCCTTAATACCAAGTTATAGCCTCTCTATAAAAGAATTAGCCTAAATTATAGCCCTAGATAGAGCTTTTTATCTAATATAAGACTTTAACGCGTATATATTATCGTCTAATATAATAGTCTAAATAGCTAAAATAGATAAAATATCTCTCTGGCTGCGATAGCTTAAATAGTCGAAGTAATAAGAACGTTCTATAGCTGCGATAGCCTAAATAACTGAAATAGGTGAAAAATCTTTATGGCTGCGATAGCTGGAATAGTTAAAATATCCTTATAGCTGCGGTAGCCAAAAAAGCTGAAATAATTGAGATATCTCTATGGCTGCGATAGCTCAAATAGCTGAAATAGTTGAGATATCTTTATAGCTGTGATAGTCTAGAATAGCTGGGATATCTTTATAGCTACGGTAGTCTAAATAGCTAAAATAGCTAAAATATTTCTATGGCCGCGATAGCCTAAATAGCTGAAATAATTAGGATATTTTTATGTCTACGATAGTCTAAATAGTTGAAATAGCTGGAATATCTTCGTAATTATAATAGCTCGAATAGCTAAATTAGCTAGAATCTCTTTAAGACTATAATAATCTAAATAGTTAAAATAATCGAGATATCTTTATAGCTACGATAGTCTAAATAGCTAAATTAATTAGAATATCTTTATATCTACGATAGATTAAATAGCTGAGATAGCTCGAATAGCTAAATTAGCTAGAATATCTCTAAGGTTATAATAGCTTAAATAGCTAAAGTAATTAAAATATCTCTATGGCTGCGGAAGCTTAATTAGTTAAAGTAATTAAGATATTTTTATAATTACGATAGTCTAATTAGCTAGACTAGCTGAAATTTTCTCTAACTGCGATAACTTAATTAGTTAAAATAATTAAGATATCTTTATAGCTGCGATAGCCTAATTAGTTGAAATTATTAAGACCTCTCTATGGCTGCGATAGCTCGATTAGTTAAAATTTTAAGATATCTTTATAGCTACGATAGCTAAGATATCCTAAATAGCTAAAGTAATTAAGATATCTCTATAGCTACAATAGCGTAAACGGCTGAAAAGCTGAGATATCTTTATAACTGCGATAGTCTAAATAGCTGAAATAATTGGAACATCCCTATATCTGCGATATTCCAAATAGCTGATATAGCTAAGATATCTTTATGGTTGCGATAGCCCGAATAGCTGGAATGACTGAAACCTCTCTGTGGTTGCGATAGCCCGGACAGCTGAAATGGCTGGGATATCTTTATGGTTGCGATAGCCCGAATAGCTGGAATGACTGAAACATCCCCGTGGCTGCGATAGCTGAAGTAGCTGGATATGACTGCGGTAGTTCAAATAGCTGAAATGACTGGGATAGCCCAAATAGCTGGAATTGCTGAGACATCTCCAAGGCTATAGTAGTCTAAATAGCTGACTAACTGTAATAGTTATATAGCTGCAATAGCTTAAATAGCTGAAATAGCTGAGATAGCTATATAACTACAATAGCTTAAATAGCTAATATAGCTATAATAGTCTAAATAGCTAAAATAGCTATATAGCTATAATAGCTTAAATAGCTAAAATAGCTAAAATATTTATATGGCTATAATAGCCCATATAGCTGTAATAGCTGAAATAGCTAAAATAGTCATATAGCTATAATAGCTTAATAGCTCTTATAGCTGTAATAGCTAAAATAGCTGAAATAGTTATATAGCTATAATAGCTTAAATAGCTAAAATAGTTAAAATAGCTAAAATAGCTAAAATAGTCGCATGGCTGTAATAGCTTAAATAGTTGAAATAGCTAAAATATTTATATAGCTGCAATAACCCACATAGCTATAATAGCTGAAATAGCTAAAATAGCTATATGGCTGTAATAGCTTAATAGCTCTTATAGCTATAATAGCTAATATAGCTGAAATAATTACATAGCTATAATAGCTTAAATAGCTGAAATAGCTAATATAGCTGAAATAGTTATCTAACTATAATAGCTTAAATAGCTAATATAGTTATATAACTATAATAGTTTAAATAGCTAATATAGCTGAAATAGCTAAATAGCTATAATAGCCGAAATAGCTAAAATAGCTATAATAATTAAAAATATTCATATGGTTATAATAGCTTAAATAGCTAAAATGTCTATATAGCTATATTAATCTAAATAGCTAAAATAGCTATATAGCTGTAATAGCTTAAATAGCTAAAATAGCTGAAATAGCGATATAGCTACGATAGCCGAAATAGCTAAAATAGCTACGATGATTAAAAATATTCATATAGCTATAATAGCCTAAATAGCTGAAATATTTATATGACTATATTAGTTTAAATAGCTAAAATAGCTATAATAGTTTAAATAGCTAAAATGACTAAAATAGCTAAAATAGTAATATAGCTATAATAGCCGAAATAACTAAAATAGCTACGATGATTAAAAATATCTATATAACTATAATAGTTTAAATAGTTAAAGTAATTAGAATATTAATGTAATTACGATAGCTAAGGTGAATAGTTATAGATAAAATAGCTAAAGTATATATTTAAATAATAGCTATATAATCGTATGGTCGTATGGCTATAAATAGCTGAAATAGCTCTAATGGTTGATATGGCTCTAATGGGTGAATAGCTATATAATATCTATGTGACTGCAATAGCCTTAAATAGCTGGTATGCTGGATAATTCCATATAGTTGATATAGCTGGAAATGGCTGAGTAGCCTCATAGTCGCATGACTGTAATAGGGCTAAAATAGGGCTGAAATAGGGCTAAAATAAGGCTAAAATATTTATATGACTGCAGTGGCCTTAAATAGCTGGAATAGCTGAATAGCTTTATGGCCGTATAGCTGAAATAACCGAAATATTCTTTCGTAATGACTGATAAAAGAATAATAATATGGCTCTGAAAGAGATGAAATCGAATGAAGAGCCGTTGATAGGTGTAAAATAGGTGGCTATATAGCTCGTACTAGATATCTGTCCCCAACCCTTTACCGGGGTACCAACAGGGGTATCAACAAGGGTACCAACAGCGAACGGCTGATCAAACAGCCACCAACGCTATGGCCTCATAATGGACCCACTAACCCACAGTCCCACTGTTGCGATTAGAGCTTGTTCCTCTGAACTGATCGTTCTCAGCGGATTAACAACTCGACTTGCCCCATACATCTGGCAGTTACAGTCAGTATGCTGGCCTTCCGACAGATTGCACCTTGAGGAGAAGGTTTCACCGCAAAGTCGACCGGCACAGCAAAATAGTCTACGCCGACGGCCTCGGCTATCTCATCCCCACCTTCAATACCGGGAAGATGCACATAGGCACATTGCGCCTCGCCTCCTTTCCCTAGCAGACCTTTGCATACAGCCTCTGTGAATCGTAAGGTGGCATAAGCGGTAGACAATGTAGCAGCACCGTTCCATTCTTTGGCATAACACACCTCCCTCCCTCCAAACCGAACCCGATTCACAACTCCTTCCAACGCTATCCCTTTCACCCGCGCAGGAGGCTGCGCTTGGCTCATAAGCGGCACGATCGTCTGCGGCGAATGCCCTCCTACAACATCTATCTTCGCATACCCACCACCACCATCTTTTCCCTCCGCTTCCGCCAAAAACGTCTCCGCTCTCACCACATCAAGCGCAGTCACCCCAAACAACCTCCGCGCATCAAACACCCCGTACGCCTTCAGCAACGCGGCGGTAAAAGGCACAATGGCATTGACCGGATTCGTAAGGACCAGCATCACCGCTCCAGGGCTCACCCGCGCACACTCCCTCACCAGCTCGCTCACCACGGCCGCACTCCGCTGGAACAACGCGTCCCGCGATGCCACCTCCGCCGTGACGCCCGCCCCCGCCGCCACAATCACCACGTCGGCGTCCTTGAGCGCTCGCGCCAGCCCGTCGGAGGCGCCGGTGTAGCCGGACACTGATCGTGGGCTCGCGGTGGGTATGTGGGAGAGATCGACGGCGACGCCGGGCGCGCGGTGCCGGTCGTAGAGCGCGAGCGTGGAGACGAGCGGTGAGAGGCGGAGGAGGAGCGAGAGCGGCTGCCCGACTCCGCCGCCGGCGCCGAGGACGGCGATCTTCACCATCAGGGCGGGGTAGGGTTGGTAAGGATTATGCAGGTACGATGCTGGACGTATGGAAGGTTAGGGAAGTCTATATGGCACCTATTCTTTTGCTTTGTGGTAGAGCGGAGATGCACGGCTGTCACGTTTCTCGGTTTCCGATCGTCAAGTTGCGCCCGCGGACATGTGCAGTTGACAGGGAAAAGTTACTTGTGGATTCGCCGTTCGGTCAAGCGCAACTTTCGGTCAACGGTCGTTAGTGCCTGACGCGCAGATTTTGGCGCTAATGGCAATAGTGAGATCCGCGAAAAAGGAGGCAATGAAAAAACTCCCCTTGGATGGCTCTGAATCGTGTCATGCACTTTAATTGGCGAGGAATAGATTAGATGTACAGCACGGTTAGATAAGATTATTTTTCATCTAATTTTACTGTTGTACATATTATAGATTATGAACAGACAACGGCAAGCTAACTGCATCCAGTGATGCAGCCTCTACGCGACGCCATGGCGATTGTCTCGGTGAAGCGCGCTTTACGCATCAAATCCACCAAGATAGCTTCCCAGACTTCTATACCTTATCCTAGTTTCCCAATCTCACCAACCGGTCTTTAATAGCCGGGCCCCGGAGACTCCGCTTCTTGGATGTTGAGGATCCGGCGCCGATGGGTGGTGGGAAGGTTGCACTTAGGATTAACCTGTTAGCGAAGTGTTTATATCAAGGGTTTGGAAGTGTCTTACCCATAGTTGGGGGAGAATGCACTAGCGTTCGCTGCGGTCACCTGGAGAGACACATCGAGAGGATTTCTCGTGTTGGCTCCCGCGTTCCCCTCGTAAGACATCCCGTAGTGCTTGCAAGCGGCAATGTGATCTTTCGGAACTGTGAGGTTGCCGAGGTAGTCAGGTGCTTCGACAATGGTAGCGACGAGACCGGACGTGATGTGGTACTCGATGTGGCAATGGAAGAGCCAGACTCCGGGGTTGTCGGCCCGGAAACGCCACACGGATGACGAGTTCTTGTTCAACATGACAGTATCTCTTCGGACAGGGGTAGCAGAGACGTTCTTGTCGTAGACCCCGTCCCATATGCCGCCGGTGTCGGGATACCCACGCTGCAGGACTTGGTATTGATGGCCGTGGAGATGCATGGGATGGAGATTCTCATGCTGGTTGTTCACCACGATCTCGATGATCTCGCCATATTTAAGTACGAAGGGATTGCTGTTGACGCCGTAGACCACCGGGTCTGTGCTGTAGTTGCCAACGCTGAGGGCAGTGTAGAGAGATGGGACCTTTTGGGGAAGGTAGGTGATGTTGTTGATGGTGAAACGAGTGATGCCGTCAAAGGTCGCGTTGTTCAAGGTCATCTCTATGCGCCGGTCCACGGGTTCAAGTAGAGGCATGCGGTCATAGGGTATGAGATTGTTGACCTCATCAAAGAACTCGAATTCGTAGAATGTCAATTGCGGCGGTAGAGGCTTCGCTTCATCGTAGACGAGCCAAGCTGTCGTATTGCCGTTCCAGCCCTCGATCGTCGGAATACCGTGAGGTGGGAACAACATGTTGACATCGAGAGTCGCAAAGATGACAAAGTTCTTGCTCGTATCGTTTTTAGTCGTGATTAGTATGTCCCATCTTTGGGCGGGTGCGAGGCGCAGAATTTCGGACCCCAGGTAGTATTTCTCGACGGTGGTGCCATCAACTCCAACGGCGGTAAAAGGATGTCCATCAAAGTAGACGGCGACACCGGGGAAGTTCGCCATGTCGATCATGTGAATCAGGTATGTCTTTCCTGGCAGCACCTTGATGGTATTGTTCTGGCTGTCATTGATGAGGCCCGCGACTGGGATTGGCGCCTGCCCGGATTGGATGGAATTATTGTTGACATCGGCAGTGGATTGGTAGTAATTCAGGAGTGTGGGCATCTCCTCATGGTACCAATCCGAGAACGTCATTGTCATTTCTTCGTCGAAATGGTAGGGGAAATTCGGGTCGTGAACAATGAGAGGTCCCCGCAGCCCGTCTGGGTATTGGCCTTGAGTATGCGAGTGGTACCAATAGGAGCCTGTCTGATTTATCTGGGAACATTGTCAGCGCTGATGCTTAATCAGAGCAGCGTGCAGCCTACTGGAAAGGAATAGGTGAAGCTGCTGTTCGGAGGCACTGGACATTGGGCTGTTCCAGCAGAACCGTCCATGGTCGCATGCCCATACTGGTTCAGTCCATGCCAATGAAGGCCGGTTGACTCATTGCCAAGGTTGTTGTAGATGGTGACGATGAGGTGATCTCCGAGGTCAACGTCTATCTGCGGGCATGGCCACTCGCCATTGATCCCAATGACAGGCCGGGGGAAAGCTCCATCGGGGTTCCTGTTGACCCAATCAATGCTCCAGTCGTACTTGACGACCTTTGCGAATGCAAGCTGGCTGCAGCCCAACAAAAGGAGACCCAAGGAAAACATGGCGGTTAATGGAAAGAGGATAGAGAGGAAAGAGGGACGACATATTTGCGCGCAGCCGCATGCAGCTATATATTAGAGATGTTGTCAGATCACAAGATTCTCGAAAGAGCTGCCCGGTCGAGTGCGACCAGGCCGAGACCATCGTACAATGCACTGAATCATCACAATCAGGATTTTCAAGCTTTCAGCGGAGGGAAGCATGCAAAATCAACGGATCCGGGTTAAGAGACGCAGATGGCATTTTGTATAGGCGACCGAAGTCACCGAAGTCGGCATATTGCTTCTTCCTCGCGTAAAATAGTGCCCTGTGCTGGAAATTGTTGCCTGCCAAGGATGCTGGGTCCCGCTTCCTTTCTCTGTTTTCTGTACATGTGGATTGGCTTGACATGCACATGGACCAAATTGGGTATTGCTTTTGCATGATAGGAAGAGGAAGTAGGTAGGAGGCTCGTGGGAAGCGGGCGGAGAGTAAAAATGAAATCTTTCGGCAACGCCCGGCTACGGCGATCGTAAAATTGAGTAAGATGGATCTAGGCCAGATTCGGTTAGACTAATAAACGAGCCTTCTCCTCGGTCAAAGATCCAAAGATCCAAAGATCTCGTACCACGGTACTATAATAACGGACTGATTGCAGAAGGCCTGTTTCGAGGTCGCTCCATTGCCCAATATGGATTCATAGTGCATGAGATCTAGATTTAGCGGATGACAGTGCAGTCTGCAGGAACGTTGCCGACTTAGCTCGAGGCAAAAGACTCGGCAGACCTGTCACCATGTCACCATACGCTCTCCGTGTTCCCTCTTAATAACACTGAGAGTCGGCACTGATGTCTTCCAGGAAAGCAACTTATGACGCACTTTTGTCTCATGTGCCGCTTCGGTGATTCGGATCTTCTCGTCCTATAAGTGCAATCGCTTTGCAATAGCTAGTTGCCCGTCGTGGACATGCCCATCTCTTCGTCTCCGCGGCAAGCTCCACATCAATCTCGTCATCAGCCTCATCCAACTTCACTCCCAACCCCAACGAGGGTGGAATAGCTAATGGCCCACGTGAATAACATGCACACCATCTCCTCTCTTCCGCAGCAAGCTCAGCGTCCATCTCATCATCACTCGCGTACTCCTCCGGACCCAGACTCCCATACCCCATACAACGCGTCGTGATGTCCGGCGCAAAATCCTCAACATAAAATCTGAATCCCGTCTGCGAAAACCCATTACCACATCCTCCAACTCGTCCCACGTGAAGAGTTTGCCGATTTGGTGATGGTCGTTGATCACAAGCCTGATACCGTCACCGAGAGACTTGTAAAATGTTTGGTTTCGCCCTTGAGCGACGGGGTACACATGTTGGAAGTCCGGGGTTGCAGGGGGTAGCGCTGCGATTTGCTCGTCGATGTACTCTTCGGCGACAGCGATGAGAGAGCGCATGTGGTTTCGGTCGAGACTGCGGCGGATGCCAAAGCCGAGGCGGAGGAGGATGTCGGTGTCGGGCACCTTGAAGCGGTAGGGAAGCAGGAAATTGTCCACGAGAGCCGAGGAGTTGGAGAGGCTGGGTGGAGTGGAATTCTTGAGAGATTCAGAGGTTATAATCTCACCCGTGGGTAGCCTTGGAGTGGAGGTGTTAGGGGCCGGTACCAGTGCCGTGAGGGAAGCGAGAGATAGGTAACAGAGGAGAAGAAGGCCAAATGCCATACATTGTTGCTGGAGAGAGTATGAGGCGGGGGGAGACAACTCCAGGTGCGGTTCCAGAGGATTGAATTCAGTAGTCATATATTTATAGCATTATATACATCTTCCATCGAACTTCCGCACCATGTCCTTCGTTTAATTGCCATGAAACCCCTTGCAACGGAAAAGGAGAGAGAGATCGCGACGTTGCGCGACATGCGCTCCAAAGAGTTCGCGTTTCTTGTTGCTTTCGAAACATTTTACAATCATAAGCGCACAGGGAGAATACAACTTTGGGAACAAAACGGCCCATCCGTGCCAGCACTAGTGGGTGACAAAAGTCACCGAGATGCCAAGACTTATGTTGCACAGCGACCATCTTGCAGTAAAACAGATCCACCACAGCCAAAGTTAGCAACTCAAGATTCTCAGAAATAGGTCCTAAGAGGCCGAGCTACCTTTCAGAATTTGTTTCAGGTCCGTTGAGTACCGTTGTGCTTGTTGAGATTGTTTGAGCACCTCGAATTTCTTCCCATCCCGGAATCAAGCGGGACCCTGACTCCGGCGACTTTGGTCGCCCCCCTGGTGGAGCAAATTGTGAACGCATACACCAGCGAATTCATCACGTTCGGAAGAAATACAGCCATATCAAACCAAATTGCTGGTCAACGAAATCGTCAGTACGATCAAGGCTTTGGAGCGTACCGCAACCTGGGTACAGGCAAGGTGTTGGAGCAGTGAGCGCTATTGACGAAAAGTCAGTCTTTGCGTCAAGGTGGTATGAGCACTAAATCGTAGTTGCTGGCCAAAGGGGGGGTTTGGGGAGAGGTGGGCGGAAAAGGAGCGTACGATCAATCTCAGACCACAATTCCCATTCGTCGGCCATATGATTTCCTTGCGTGATCCATTTCGACATCGAGTACACTTTGTTCGTATACGACAGCGCGCGATTCGGGAGACCGCCGCCGCTTTTCTAATCGTTGTATCCACTGATACCGGCGCTGGCGATGAGCAGAAAATCAGCTCGCTGCCGGCTGGAAGAGATGAAGATTATCTCGGAGAAAGACCTACGTCTCTGCGACGAAACAGCCCGTAAGGTCGCCACCGTTACCGAACAGAGGATCGGCCATCTGCTGGTGTTGGCACTGGATCGCAAGGGCATCGTCGGTACTGCGACTTCAGCTCAGAGTCAGCGTAAAGCACTACACAGCGGGCCACTTATTGTTGGGAAATAGCTGCGTACTTCAACGGCAGGCCTTGCGCCTGTTGAGACTTGTTCAGGCCGAGACATGGTGTGCACGCTTGGGTAATCTGCCACCAGCCATTGATGAAGAGGCCAAAGGTCAGGGCGCATGGTTTTCACGGGTCTGTTGGGTTGCTGGGGTTTGCACAAGCGTCGTGTTCGCCGTGCTTCAGAGGGTTCGGATTGGGAAATAGAGACATGCCGCTTCATAACTTGTCAGTCGCATACTCAGCCAGAATTTGTGGGTCTTGCAACGAACACTCCGATCATAGCAATGGCCAAGTCCAGGGCAGTGGCGCCTGCGGCAACAAGGGCTGCTTCTTTCGGTCCCGCGGCTCCTGGAGATGAGTAGACGCCTTGCTTGGTTTCTTGACGTCCTTGTGCGTTTGTCAGCATGCTAGTGTTGGCGTTGCTAGGGTGCCGCTGGCTTTACCTTTGAGCTCCGATGGATGACCCAGAAAGCTAACAGGGAAGGTATGCGGCAGCGATCAGCGTGCAAAGCGTAAGGCTTCATGTTCGATGGGCGCCCACAGTCTTAGACTGCTCTGGTATATACGAGAAAAGAATTACTACAGAGAGGAGTCCTGGCTGGCAAGAACGTTTGGAAATGGAGCTGACACAACGACAGGAATGAATGTGAGAGTTACTTCTGAGAAGAGCACTAAAGATCTTGCGACTGAACGCTGCAGATCTAGAGCGGGCTCAGAGCTAAATAAGGCATTGAACTCTCCTGTCTCGCGCGGAAAGCTGACATTATACCATTATTGGGTTGATCAGATTCCTGTACTTAGCGTGGATACGGGAGCACCGTCGTCATCGAAGCAACCACACTGGGGAAGTTGTGACTCATTTCTGTAGGAGCTCTACACACGCGAGACAGCTATGACTCCTGACTCATCACGAGCAGCGTTTCGGTTAGCAGGGACACCAAATATGTACATTTTCACTCACCACAAATCTTTTTCGGTAAATTTTGGGGCGCGTCGGACAAATTGGTGTTTCAAGGCTCAAAGAGTGTTTGAGATGCTTGAGATGCACGGGATACTAAGGTGGCTTGGCGCCCGACCTCCACAGTAGCGAGTGGAATTGATCCACAACAAATGAGCTACTCGCGTGGGTCTGCCCAGTCCGGACCAGATTGTTTTAATGACTCCGGCTGCATCTGCCCAGCATGTGGCACCAGCAAACGCACCTCCTCGCAAATGCTCTCGAATTCTGCTCTTTGCAAGCGATCGACGTAGAAAAGCGTTTGCAAGGTATCGCGTATCTCAATCCATTGCCAGGACAATATACCGTGGGATCCCTCGGCAAGTTTGAACAAAAACCATTCTTTCATACGCTTCTCTTTCGATATCCAGATACCGAACATGAACGCCCAGACCAGGATTGAGGGGAAACTTTTCCACGACTCGGCGAGATCCAGACTACTCAAGACTTCGTAGAGTTGAATCACCATACTGTCCATGATCATAGAGGGCCCGTAAATGTTGTATTGGTATCTGACAGCGAAGATCGGTACGGTCACCCGACAGATCGATTGTATGTCGGAGTCTTGTCGATAGAGGTGCGTAGATAAGAACGTGATCAAATGGTGCTGGACACGCAGAGCCAAAGTCTCGAAGTATTCAACCTCATAGAGCGTGACATCGACCCCTCCACTACACAACTCTCTGAAGGCAATGACGACGCTCAGATCGCGGTATGCTTGACTCATATCTGGATCAAGCAGGTCCTTGAACTTCATAAGCTCCATTCCAAGTAGGCGAAGCCTGGGATCGATTCCGGCAGAAATCCGGTCAAGTGTATTCTTTGGAAGCTTTGGTTTCATTGGGACAATTGGGAAGGAAGGTAACGAGCGTCGTGTTGCAGCAAACCCAAGGTCTCCACTGAAACGCCTTTCTTCAGCATGAGATCAAGTTTGATGCTGAAATTGTAGGACAAAGACATACAACAGAGCAACTTGAATGAGAAAGACCGGCAACCCATCGAAGCCGCCTCGCAGGTTGATAAGTTCTCTGAGACCTTTCAAATGTATCTGGATTGCATCCGAGTCTTCCTCCACACCTAGCTGTTGGTAGATTCGTGAGCACGTCGCACATGGCTGCAATTGGGCGCGCTTACTTCGCAACCAAATAGAGTGAGAACGGTCAAGATGGTCGACAGCTGGGTTGCGTCCAAGACATTTTGCAATTTGCGGTTGATAAGGTTGATACTCGCAACCTTATGCAACTGGAGCTCTGTAAATGCCGCCGATGGATTAAAGGGCTTGACATGTTTCAGCTTGAGGGTGCTGGAGGTGATACCTAGGAGTGCGTGCAGCAAAGCAGGTTCGATGAATGCTTGCGGGATGATGGTTTGGTTCCAAGCCTGATTCACGGCCGGGATTGGGAAGACCTCTGGGATTATTTCCTCGGTATCTTTATAGCGGAGCAGTCAGCCTGGAGGCTCACAGTCGGGCATAATAAGTCGCTTACAAAAGGCTAGCAGTGCCCTCTTCGCCGGGGTCAAGGGAAGCAACGACTGTGGATAAGGATCAAGGCTAGGAGGTATACTCGCACTTGTAGGGGCGGTCTCGCTTGCAAAACCTTGGCTCGTTGGAGGCAAGGTGGAACCTTGAGCTGCTGGTGAAGGCCGAGTGGCGAGTGGACCATGGTTGGCCTGGACAAATTTCGGAGCCTTTGTGTATTGCGATCGTGCGTATTCGCAGACAAGGCCACATTTAGTGCAATTTGAACAGACAGGTCGTTCCTCATCACATCGGATAGATCTTTGCCTGCACGTCTGACAACCTCTCCACGGCTCTGCATGTCTTATTCGTTTGCCTACTTCCATTATGGTCCTTCGACATCATCGGACACATGGATGGTGTTGGGCAGATTGACGTTAAGCTGTCTCATATATACTGTACTCAACGAGTCAATTTTAAGCCAGTAGCCGGATCGACGAGCCCTCATTGGGCTTACGGAATACGGATGACGCAATATATCTTGAAATGGTGGGTGGCTTGCAGTAGTCCTCCAGACAGCGGCTGACAAGGTATCGATTGTAATCGAGATGCGCCGTCTTGTATCTGCTCAAGCTGAGATTCTTCCAGATAAGGTCGGTGCCGAATGCAGGGACTCTTATATATCCTTGTAGCCATGCAGAAAGACCTGTCGCCACCTTCCCTCTCGGCGACCGGGACGCTATGGAATTGTTGACGTGGAAGGAACAATTGATGTTCATTGAAACGGAAAGCCTCAATACCAGTACGCCCCCTGTTTAGACGGAAAGAGAAATTAAAAAGACGGGACGAAAAGAAATATGACCGCAAAGATCGTCGGTGCCAAGATATGACTTCGGTTGAACCTCGGTGCTCTGTCAAATTTCCTACCGTCTGACCTTGGGCTTACAGCTCGAGCTTTTCCCCTAGTTACACCTCTGATCAGTCCCTCTCGTCTTCTTGTCTTACCACGATGAAGTATACCACTCGGCACGAGTCGTACTTGAATCGAATGACATCGATCTCTGCGGATAACCTCATGATGCAGGCTATTGACAAGCTGCATGCCTATGATCGACCATGCATATGCACCATGTCCCTTACCCCGCTGCCTTCCACACCATCTCTTGCTGAGGAAATGCTTGCGGGGAACATTGATCCGTCCTGTTTCCAACGTGTTTGTCAGCGCCGGTACACGGTTCACTACAAGCCATGATTCGACGCTGCCAACTTAAATCCCGCGGCCAAATCGTGAGAGACCTCAACCTCTTGAATGCTCGCAAAATGATGCCATGTCAAAGGTATGGTCTGTCAATCCATAGGAGCTCTCCTGGCAGACCTGTTTTGACATTCGCTTTGACAATTGCCAAGGTATGAGGTTATGCGATTTAAAAAAACCATCGCTGCCACGCCGTCTAGCAGCGCACCTGCCGGGTCGTCCTCTCTGTCACTTAGAGCTTTTCGACTCCTTTCTATCCTGCTACGTCTCTTCTGACATTTCGCGAGGATGCCCGAACTCCGCGGCCCTGCCTTGTTGGCAACGGTCACCACCCTCACGTCTCTAGGCTTTTTGATGATTGGCTATGACAATGGGCTGTTGGGAGGCTTGGGTCTGTTCCAACATATTCATACACTACGATAGTGTTGAGCCACTAATCGCCAAGACTTGTCTAGTCAACGGCGATGCCTTCAATAGCACGTTCAATAAACCCAGCCAGACCATGATTGGAACGATAGTATCTATCTATAACAGTAGGTTCTACGTCCGCATGGACGCATGTGGGAGATCAAAGTTTACCCAGATCGTCTGTGATAGTCGGATGCTTCCTCGGCGCAGTCGCAACATCTCTCATCGGTGAAAATCTCGGCCGACGAAAGAGCATTGCGATCGGAGTCGTCATCATGATTGTCGGCTCCCTACTGCAATCCACTGCCTACACGCGGGCGCACATCATCGTTGCTAGGATTGTCTCCGGATGCGGCATGGGGTTTATCAACTCGACGGTACCGGTATTTCAGTCAGAGTTCTCCCCGAAGGCCAGCAGAGGCTTGTATGTCTGCATGCAGCTTTCGACGCTGAACTTCGGTACCGATCTTGTGTATTGGATCGACTACGCTTTCTCCACGCATACCTCGAGCTACGCTTGGCGGATCCCCGTCATCTTGCAATGCGTCTTCCTATTTCCGATGCTTTTAATCATCTTTGTCTTGCCAGAGAGTCCACGATGGCTCGCCGCTCACAACCGGTCTGATGAATCACTATCGGTTCTTCGGCGCTTAAAGGGCCATACTTTGGACGACGAGGCCATCGTGAGGCTGCACAGCGACATTGTCAGAGCGGTTGAAGAAGAAGCAGCAATGAACGCTGGATCGTGGAGAACGATACTAAGTGCTGACAAGATCCATAGTAGGAGGAGGCTTCTCATCTCCAGCGCCATCCAAGCCTTTCAACAACTAGGTGGCATTAACGCGATCATCTATTACTCAAGCACGCTCTTCAAGAACGTCGGCTTCAGCAACCACCTCTCAGCCCTCATGTCCGGATTCTTGCAGCTCTGGTTCTTCGTCGCAAGTTTTATCCCATGGCTACTTATCGACCGCATCGGCAGACGGCCGCTACTCCTTTCCATGATCACCGTCATGGCTCTGGTAATGGCCGCCCAAGCCGCGCTGGTCTACCAGGTCCAGTTCAAGACCTCCGTAGCCTACGCTGCTGGAATCGCCGGCGCAGTCATGCTGTTCCTTTTCGAAGGCGCCTTCACGATCGGCTTCCAAGCCACCGTCTGGGTCTATCCATCTGAGATCCTGCCGTTGCGACTTAGGCAGAAGGGATCGAGTATATCGACTGCGGCAAATTGGATATGCAATTTCCTCATTGTGCAAATCACACCGCCGGCTATTGAAAATGTGGGATGGAGGACTTATGTCATCTTCGCTGTGTTAAATGTGAGTAGAACACGGCATTGAAGCCTTGGAAGCTGCGGCCGTCTCGAAGAATACTGATGTCATGTTGACAGGCAACATGGGTGCCAATTATATATCTGTTCTTTCCCGAAAGTAAAGGCCGAGAGCTAGAGGACTTTGACCGTATGTTTGCAGGAGAGGATGATGCTGCTATTACCGAAACGACGACTGGCGACAAAGATCCGGTATATCTTGAAAGGAACGAGCCGGTGGCAGTCAAGGGTGCTGCAGCTCATGAAGAGGAAGGCTTGAAGAGCTTGGTATGAATCTTTCAGCTAGGTCGGTGTAGCTACCGCAAAGCCAGAGGCCTGGCCGATTCTAACCTATATATCATCCTTGATTCCCACGAATTTTAGAGAATCCGCCCACAGCTTCTTCTCGCCCCCATCGTTATATGCCCTAGGATGATATCCCATGGCTAATGGGGAGGGATCATCCGTCTCCTCGGCCTCCTGGCAATCTTCCAAATACCTTCCACCCCTCCCTTCCCACTCCTTGCTCAGCGCCGCATAAACCGTCGTAGCGGCACCTTGTTCTGGACTCTTCATGTAATACCGCGCCGCGTCCATCCCGGCCGAGAGTTGATCCATGACGTGCACCTGCAGTCCCGTCATGATCCCACCAGGCATCACACTCAGCCCATGTAGACCCTTTGCCCCGTAGCGTCGCTCAATCTCGTTTGCCATGTATATATTCGCCGTCTTGCTTTGCCCGTACGCGGTCCAGGGCGCGTAGTCGCCTTTCTCAAAATTGTAGTCGTCGAATTGGATGCCAGCGCCACGGTGGCCGGAGGAGGAAAGGCATACGACGCGGGAGTTGAAGCCTGGCGTTGAGGAGGCGAAAAGGGTAGGTTTGAGGAGCTGGAAGAGTAGGAAGTGGGCGAGATGGTTGGTGCCGAATTGAGTCTCAAAGCCATCCGCCGTTCTACCCTCTGGTGTCGCCATGACGCCTGCATTGTTGATGAGAATATTGAGCGTCTTACTCTGTTTCTGGAACTCCTCTGCCGCCGACCGCACGCTGTCGAGGGAGTTCAGGTCCATCTTCAAAAGCTCGACATACCCCGGCTTCAGGATGTCGGATAGGGCGGCTTGTCCCTTGGCGGTGTCGCGGACTCCCAGGAACAGCTTCGCACCCGTAGTATTCAGAGCTTTGGCGGTCTCGATGCCAATGCCTGAAGAGCAGCCAGTGATGAGGACGACTTTGTCCGTGAGCTTGCCTAGCAGGCCTTCATCTCTGACGATGTCGAGGGCTGTAGGGCGGGCATCTCCGGGCCCTTTGGGATTTTGGTGGGCGGCGGCGTAGCGAGAGGACATGCTTGCTGTGGTTGAGAAGAGGGTCTGGGCGGTTGGATGCTGGCAGTAGAGAGTACTGGAGGGTAGAGGAAGAGCAGGAAGAAGCTTGAAGCGCGATAAGTGTAGCAAAAGTTTAGCAAAGAAGAAGCGGGACACTAATACTCGCGATGTGGTGGTGCTCTCCAATTGTTCTGGCCATGAATGGGGGAGGTGGAAGTCGATGTCCGAGCTCCGAATCAACTCCGAGTCAAGATGTCTCCATTCTTGGGAGCTTATCAATCAAGCCATCTCTGGCTCGGCGGAAAGAGCCTGAGAGAAGATGAGAAGACGAGAAGATGATTGGCTCCTTGAGACGAAGGATCAATCGTCCATTGGTAATGCCTTGCTCGTAAGGGAAGGAGCAAAACACAAATGGGCCCTGAAGACATCCGAATCCTTGGCGTTGTGCTGAGCTATGCCTAAAAAAGCTAGCTCTAGCTCTCTGAATTTAAATCGAGTGATTCAAAATGCTTGCACAATGCTTACTGATCCGTTGGCTCTTAACGTATAGAGATGCTGTCTGATCATTCGATACATGCTTATCTTCTGCGTTATCATATGAGTGTGTCTATAATACCACGCCGTGCTTTAAAGCCGACCCAATGCCAGGGAAGCCGTACAATGCATCTTGTACACCATTTATTTACCGCAGATATTGATAAGGAATCCCCCAAACAGTTAGCCTCCCTCAAGCGAGTGACTTATCCACGCGCGGACGAGGTGTCACTGAAGCTTGTTGAAAAGGGGAGCGATGAGGTCGCCACCATGACTCTATCACAAGCTTTGCAACGCCTCAAACCTCGCTCTTACCTGGCAAAAGCAGGACCAGGAGCATACTGTATCGAAACATTTCCCGATCCTGGACCACAAAAGGTCTTGAAAGTTACAAAACCATCATACAAACCATACACCAGAGCTGGTCGGGGCAAGGAAACCCATGTCAGCACTTCCTGTACTCCGCAGCTTCTTCGCCATCATTTGAGGACGTCTTACGAATACCTCCTGCAAGGGGCTCGTATGGAGTATCACCTTCATCAGAACGTCAAGGAGAAAACCCGCACGGTCGCCTGGGCCCTTGCACACTGCATGGAACTCAGGCCGGAGTCAATCTTAGCGGCAATGCCCGAGGGGACAACAATGTTGGGGGAGCCTGTTGTCACCGATTTGTCTTTCAAAACGAGGCCCTCCAAAAATCCCGAACGCGCCAAGTCTCAGATGATGTGGATAATGGAGAATACGCAAGTCCGTGGAGTGGAAGGTACGCCGCAACGAGTCACGGCATTTCTCGCGAAATTGCCATTTCATAGAAAGCAATTGGAGGATGAGACATCCCCTGTCGTTACGCCTGAGGATGTTTGATCAGAATTGTTGTTGCTACTTCTTGTTTTGGCATCCGTGGATGTTCAACCCGAGATCGGTCGACATGATGCAGCAGATTGACTGTGCTCTTCGACTCTCTGTTGGATTTTCGACTAGGCTCGCCAAAGGAAGGGTAATCTTTCAATTTGCAACAACTTCGCCCCTGGAATCAGCTTTCCCTTCCGACCAATCAGCTGTCACTTGATGAGACGTGCGCCTTCTTCACCCAGTCTTTTACTTTCAATAACACCTACGAATCACAAATGCGGCAAAGTCTGGACATGATCGATCTGAGCGATCATGTTCACGATATCAGTTCTTATTTGGAACTCATGGACATCACGCTTCATGATACCCTTGGCAGCTTTCCTACAACACATGTCATCTTCGACATGTAGGGCTCTGTGGGCGCAGTGTCACCATACAATAATACTCCAACAGAAGCTTCTAATTTCCTCAACCTTTCACATTCTTGGCGAGACCGATAGCTGCCTTCAATCCGTTAATTCTGCATTACTCCGGCTCTTGCTTCAAAAGCGTGATTTTGGCGAAAGCTATGTCAAACTTCGGACCGGACACCAAACGAGGTAGCAGGATGTCTTCCGTTTTGTCGCGGAATTGTGTTCAATAAGGGGGTCAAAGGTTATCGCGAAGGGGTCGGGACTCTTCCTATCTCTAGACAATGACAACACTCGGTGGGTCGTTGTTGGAGAGGGGCTGCGGTCATGGGAAGCGTTTGTGGCGCTGTGTGGTCGGGACCTCTACGCGTCGCCGAGGTCTACGTGTGTATAGCTCTAGAACATCTGGATAGCCTCTGCGAATTACATTCTCCATGCATTCACTGCACCTACGAGCTAGATCGCTCCACGTTAAAGTCATTGCTGCCCATGAGCATGAGAATTTCTTGAATACCAGGATTTCTAACATCGTGCCGTCTCCGTCTAGTTCGCTCAAAGGGATGAATGCCTAGGCTTTGAAGCCGGATGGTCAACCTTCGTCAGCAGCAGCAGCAGCGTCATCATGAACAACACCCCCACCCCATCCCATCTCCCCCTCAGTCCTTCCCTCATCGGTCTAGCTAGACCCCTACCTGCCGTCCGCCGCCGGACCGTCCGTCCGTCCGTCATCCTCTGAGATCGGCCACCGTGCCGTTATGAGCCACGCGCGTCGTGTGGCTCGAAAGGCATGAGTGTGTATGAGCTTCGCTCCTTTCCCTGGCTGATCTTGCCTTCCTCCTATGACTTGGAAGGGACCGGTGTTCGAGCGTTGTGGGATTGTGTCTGGCTTCCTGCTCTGCTTCTTCCTTTCTTAGCTCCCCACTCTCTTTCTTCCTCTCTTTCTGCCTTTCGTTCTTTCTTCCCTCATCCCGGGCGCGGCGATGCTCCCACGGTGTTCAAATGGCCATGTACTTCCTCTCCCCCTCCAGCCCCCACTTGTTGCGGATCCCCGTCAGCACCTGCTTGATCCACCTGCCCTCGGGGCTATCGGCGCCGAAGAGCCGGAGGTTGGTGAGCAGCGGGAACAGCAACAGGTAGGCGCCGCCACAGCCGTGCTTCTCGAACATCAGGTCGTAGGGCACGGCGCGGCAGATGTTGTTCGCGGCGTCCCAACGCTGCCCGAGCAGGTCGGACACCGAGGGGGCCGCGTTCAGATCGTCCGGAGACGGGGGCACGGAGAGCATCAAGCTGGATAGGAAGAAGATGACCGTGTTGTAGAGTTGATATTCGTTGGCTTGGAGGAAGTTGGGGAAGGTGATGGCGTATTCGAAGATCTCAATGGGGAATTTGAGTTCGGAAGGCGGGAAGTAGGACAGATTGACGGATTGTACGGCGGAAGGGTAGGTCTCATCCCAGACCTCTTTCCACTTTTGCAGTTTGATGTAGCAGCTTTGGATGCGCTTGCGTAATGCTACAAGACGAGGATCGTGCCTGGTCATCGAGGGGTCGGTGGCTGGGCTTGTTGGGGTCGTGAAGTCCCATACGAATGAAGTGGGGGAGTGCAATGCCTTGGAATCTTCGAGTAGACCAGGTATAACGCAGAATATGTCGATGAGGTGATTCATTGAAGACTTCTGTCCGGGATCTTGAGCCCAAGGAAGCGTGAGCCATGCAGGCTGGTCGAGGAAAGTACGCTTATAGTCTGTGATAGCCTTGATGACGATGATTGGCCTGGCAGCCTCGAAGATGTGACGCTCTTCGACTGTTTGATGACGCGAAGGTCCACGAGCCTCGAATAGACGTTCGACCCCCCCTGCATGCTGGATCCAGCCCGCGGAGCCCGTCGATGCAACCAATTCGTAGCGAGCCAACAAGATGGATGACAGTAAAACTGAAGAGGACCACATGGCGTTGTGGTCATCCAGATCATCCCTGAGTTTGAGTAGCGCTTTCCCATAGCATTCGGCGCCCTGCACAACTATGTACTGTTGATGATGAGCTTTGCCGAAGAAAGCTAACGCCAATGCATTAACTGAATCTCTTGCTGTTCCAGATACATGATTCACATCCCAGGCGGGTAGAAGTGATGTTCTTCCGGTGTCCAAGTGCCCCAAGAAATTTTGCACGAGAAATGTGACACATATCGGTTCTTGAAAAGCCGAGAGACTTAATTCGAAGGGCACAAGTGTCGGCCTGGCTGATACATTGCTCGCTCGCCTGGTCGACTGCGAGACTTTCCTAGGCCGGCCTCGTGACGGTCTCTTTATGGGCCTTGCAATGCCATTGGAGACCGGGTGTGAAGCATTGCGTGAAGAGGATTCTGCATGAACATTTGGATTGTGGTTGACCATTCCATTTTCTTCATCAGCCTCAGGATCTTCCTGCCCAGACGTGGGCCCTTGTGTGTTGTTGTGTTGATTGATCTTTTCGACATGTGGGTCGAAGGTGACGGGTAAGCCTCTGTAGCCTTCGCACAGGAGACCTGAACTATAGCACTTCGCACACGTAGGCTCCCCTTCGTCTGTCCAGTGATTAGAGGGTACGTCGGGAATTTGTAGTATCACGTGAAACTTACCGCATTTGACGTGCCTTCTAAGGCACGTAATGCAGCCGTTGCTGCGGCCTCCTATATTACCCATGTATGGGATGTATGGGATACGGAATAGCTGATCACGCTTGTGCAGCAGTTGATTGTTGGTATGCAAGGGTGTGAGAGATGCTAATTGCTAGGGGATGCTACCACTCGGATTGAGAAGGGTCTGTTGTCGGAGGTTAAAATGCCGAATCAGCGCTTACCCCGCAAAGCAAGCGTACCCTAGGATGTACATCCATCCAACGTACCGGAATTGACTGAGTTAACCGAAGTACATAGCAGCGTTACATCCCGTCTTTCAGGATCATTAAGAAGTGAGAAAGGGTGGGTTAACCGTCTGATATTAATATATCAACCGGACGGGGCACGGCTGACTCGTGGGCGGTCCTCGTGGGTGGTCCTCACTCCAGCGTATGACGTATAGTCTGCGCGGCCGCTCGCAAACAGACCCCAGATGGTCAAAGAGATTGCGCGAATAGGCCTTGGGCAGTTGTGATGGGGATAGGACTGCGGACCTCTGAAACAGGGTCGAGGAGGCTCCAACGAAGAAGCCTTTAGCTGATTCCGGAGTATTGCGCGAGGAAGGTCGGTAGGCAAAACAAGGCAAACACGCTCACATGATCGTTGATTTGGGTCTTTGATTTGGGTCTTTTTTGGCGGTCCTATCACTGCTCAACGTTGCTTTGTATCATTGGATACCGAACAGATGATGAGATGAAATGGAAAGTGGTGGGAAGAAAAGGGAAGGGATGGCAGCAATTTGATACTTAATAACCCGGTGTCCAGCCCCCCACAGCGAGCGGGAAGCCTAGGCACGGGCCTCCGCTAAAAAGACGCGCTACGTTAGTACTGATTGGGGATAGCGTCGCGCGTCTGGATTGCCGAAGTGCCGAATACAATAAATGTTTTCGTTCTGGTGGCTACTCGTATCATCATACTCACTATCGTACTCGTATCTTTTTGCAATGCTGTTGGAACCTAAAGTACCGTACTTTATTATTGACAGGTAGCCTAAGGCGAAGGTTACTTTAGCTTACGGCCACAACCCATCATGACCAATGCTGTCTACTTGTGACAGCGTCAACAAAGGACCTCGTTTCCTAGCCTCCTCCTTCCCACTTTTTCCCCTCTCATATCATTCTTCCCTCTTACCAACCCTTCACCATTCACCCTCCACCAGTCCCACATACTTTCATGCATCGCCTTCTCATCCGATGGTGGCAGAGTATCAATCACCCTGGCGCAAATTCAACCACTGCAACCACTTCGCCTGCCAGCTAAATCCCTCGTCTGAACGCCAGTCGGTGGCGATGGAGCCTTTTTGATTGGTCATGTGCTCTGACTCATAGTTGGCCCTTGCGCGTAAGGGTGCTTTTGGATTACATAAGTGCTCGACTGGCGTGTAGAGACTGCTTTCTTTTCCCCGTGGTGGGAGAGGAGGAGCACATGGTCGGTAGAGGCCTTTCAACCTCACGGATGTTCATTTCCTGCTGGGACTTGTTGCCTTTCTCGAATAGTTCGACTTGAGAAGGATGTTGCTACTAATCACCGTAATGGAACAAGAGAGCCAAGGACGTTTGCGTTCTTGACTGGGCTGTGCTCCGCGTAGCTTCTATGCCCGCTCGGGGTGGAAGCAGCGAATAGATGATATTTTGGGATAACGCATCAGGGTGGGGAGGCCAGTTTTGGTCACAATTCAGGTATGTGATGTGTAGCTTGCAGCAACTATTCTATCTCAGGACTCCCTTGGGCCAGCATCTGTACCCCATGCAAATCAGATTGTTTTTCCAGCAGCTGGCTGTGAGGAGGCTGGGCAACATCTTCTGACAATTTTCCGTCTAAAGACATCCGACCAAGCGTTTGAGGCGTTTACCCGTAGCAATAAGAACAATCGTTCTGACACTGCGTACTTGACACTTCGCAAAATGTTTGCTGCGCCCGGGAGACGATCATTCTCTCGCTAAAGGCTAGAGGCATTCAGGGGCGAACAGGATCACCGACTAGTCACTCCTATTCGCTGGTCTGACACGGCCGAAGGCTACGTCGCAGCACCCAATAATACGCAGCACGTGCGCTTTGAACGGACTATGTGCGCGTAACATTTAAAGACTCCAGGTTGGCAGGTCTTGGAATCAACTGTCTAGCCCGAAATGCGGGGACTGAGCTTTCGTGATGGGATTCTGGTGAAGATTCCATGTGCAGGACGATTTCATGGCTAGAGGGGCAGTGACCTCATACGAACATCTCCTCGAAGTAGGGGCTTAGGTGTGAACTTGGAGATTAGTAGTAGGTAGCAACACGCAGTCAAGCACATCCAATCTCTATCCGCATTCTTCTCCCCAGAATTCCAGCCCAAGGCAATGAAAAAGACAAAACTTCCTTTCCAAACCCTGACGCAGATCTACCAAAATTGGTGGGATTTCGCCCCTGCAGTCGAAGCCTAGGTGCATAATCAGCCCCTCCGCTCGGCATTATGCGCGCATGCACGTCTCCGCATACTAGTATGACTTCTTGGAAGAGCACTTGATTTGTTACCGTTCGGTCGGCGGTGCATGCGGTGTCGATCCCAATCGTGCCTAGCACTCCGTTGCTTCTGCTTCAGGGTGAGAAAATACGGGTGAGAACTCCGAATGAGCTCCTACAGTTCAGGCGCGGTGCCAAGAGAACTTGGCCGTGTTCAGAGCCTTTTTCTCAAGTCCTTGTCGATCTGCAGAGAAGCCCCTGGTTGAAAATCTTACAATCCGGGGTTCGGGCGCGGTGCCAGAAAAAAGTTGACCCTGTTCACGAACTTTTCCCACCAAGTCAAGGTAGATTCATATTCGTCAAGGCGAAATCCATTCATCATGTTCAAATCTAGGGAGGAAAGAAGGGGGGGGGGGGTTGGGTCCATTCATTATCATTATTCGATTGTTGGCATGCTGTGTGACAAAAGCACCAAAGAAATCTATCCTGCGCATGCTGTTCGACAAAAGCACCAAAGAAATCTATCCTGCGCATGCTGTTTGAGAACAAGATCCAAAGAAATCCAGCCCGTGTATGCTCGCCACCCTGCCATGCCAGATGGTCCCATTGAAACCGCTGTGTGTGTATGATGCCTTTTTCTTTCATTGCTTCCCTCTGGTCCTCCGGTCTAGCTTTCCTCCTCTCCTGCCGCCTGGGCATAAAGAGTCGAACCGCATGGGGCACGATGAAGACTAGGCTAATAGTCAACCTTGACGTTTGGCCACTCGCTGTGTGCTTGTGGGTCCAAGCCAGGATAATCAGGCATATCGTGTCCCTTTGACTTCAGTGTGGTGTGATCCTCTGCAATGTCGCTGTGACCAAAGGGGAATGTAAAATCTGATAGAAAGGCGTTATTACTAGAGGGTGCGAGAGAGAGCCGGCCTGAACAAGACTTACTGCATTTGATAGTGTTTTCGATTGTGTCCTGCGAGATTTGATACCAGCCGGTCTCAGTGAGTAGGAAAGGCGTGCCGCACTAGGGCATACATCAGCTAGGGTCCCAAAAGACTGGCCTTGGACCAGAACGACGATATCTGCACGTACGGCATCAACGGGAGTCTGGCGGTCGCGGTCGCGGTAAAGGTACACGACACCGCCGAAAACCATTTGTTCCAGGCTGCTGCCAGATTCGCCTTCGGTCTTTTTCTCGTGTCCAACCACGTAGGCCTTCGTCTGGGGTGGAGTATCAGTACCCTCTACACCTTTCAGAAGATACGTGAAAAAGACATGACCGATCTCGTGGAAGATGGAGGTTGCGGTTATGAACAAGTAGTTTCTGTAATCCCTGCTCGCGAAATCGTTCGGATCGCTTGGGTCTGCGATGACTCTTAAGGTGAACATTTGGGCCAGGTTCTAGAGTACGGTCAGCTTGCCCAAGCAACGACTTCCTGAACTCTAGCTGGACATCTACTTACCTGTCCATTGAGTACGATGGCCTGGTCCGAGGTTTTAAACTCCCCATCCCATGCGTGTCTACAATGGGTTGACAAAGAGTCCGGGTTGTACAAGCTGTGGTCGAGAAATATCAATGGGAACTTATCAAGGACTTTTTTGAGGAAGGTATCCGTCATCTCCTCCAGTTTCTCCTCGGTCATCGGACCTTGAAGGAACCAGACTCTCTCTGTCGTTTGGCAGTATTGTCTGACGAGCTCTATGAAAGCAGACCGAACGTGTTCGTGGGCCAGCATTCCTCGGCATACATTGATGGCGTGAACCACACAGGTAACTATGCCTTCTTCCGGGTCGTATGGGGCTTGTGGTACTGCCTGATCACTCAGGGGGTAAACGAGGAAGTCAGCAGCGTTCGACACCTCCTCAAGAACAGGATCCCGGTCGGCCATTTGGTCTCGAGGTGATTCAGGAGTAGGTAAATAACAATACGTAGCAGATAGAGATAACTTTGAGTCTGAAGGATAACAGAGAGGAGAGAGGGAGCCAGTATGGAGAATAACAGATAGAGGAGAGAGGGGAACATATACTCGGGAGAGGCCCTACTCAATGCTTTGTAAAGCTCGCGGCGGCGCCTTGTAAAACAATTCATCCTGTCAGCCTCAAACATTCTTGCGTGGAAACATATCAATGTGCCAGACTGGGGCGTTGGAGGTGGGCGTCACTTCCTTCGAAACAGTCCATTGTGAAGACTTTTTGTATCAAATCGACAGTGTGGTGTGGACTGGGCGTCATGGTGATGGGGGAGACGGTCTTAGCGCGTAGGAGACCCTGAGGCGAAGTGATGGGCCAGACCTGGACAATGGCGACGAAAGGCATTTGAAACCAAGAACTTTCCCCTGAAGCTTCTTCACTTAAGTCGACAGTCTGGTGTGGATGAGGTCTCATCCCATAGGGCCAAGATCGCGGACTTGTTTCTAGTCCGCCTTTCGGTTTGAAAGCACCTACTAAGGGGTATTGAGTCAGATATTAGCCCTGTGACTTCGCAGGTTTTGGGACCGGGCGGTTGAATTTACAGAGCATGGCAGACGTGCCGCCAAAACCAGCTGCGGTCGGAGCTTCATGAATCCGAAACGAGATGGAAACCGCCGACTAAGAGCAGCTACTCTCCTTGCCAAAAGCTCGGTCTGAGCCGGACTCATATGATGACAACGGGCATGATACCAATCGCTTGTGTTGCCATCAAAAGACGAGGCGCTCAAGAGGGTCACTTCTCTGGCAGCTTCTCTGGTACTTGGGGGACAGACTCAAACAAGTCGCAGCTTCCCGAAACTTCGCAGCATGAGACAGCGGACGACACTCGAAACATTGATTCGGCAGACAAGAAAATTTTCTGCGCCTCTCGGGGCTAGGCGGCAGCGTTTAGGATAAGGATGGGCCTGTTGTCCTCAGCGATCCAGTTGCCGCTTCACCCTACGAAGGGATCAGCGAAGCTAAGCCTGTTTCAAACCCGCCAGCCAGAATCTCATAACACTTCTCTAAGGCAGAGTGAAGAAACGTTTCGGATAGATGCAGTGGTGGTGATTGCGGAGTCAGGAAAAGCCCAGGATGCTGAAGGTGTATAAAGTCTTCGGGGGTCAGCGGCAGGGGAAGATCATACGCAGGCAGCCGGTCAGGGAGTAGTCGACAAGTGTTTGATGAGGGTTAAAGAGTAGTCGACGAATAGTTGATAGAATTTATGAATTTGTCGACAAATGTTTGATGAAGATTAGGGAGTAGCCGAAAGATTTTCGATGATGGTTGAGGGGTAGTTGACAAATGTTCGATGAAGTTTAGGGAGTAGTCGACAAGTGTTTGACGAAATTTAGGGGCGTGTCTCGGCGTCTATAGGGACCGTGCGTTATGATTGCTAATCTCTAGAATCTGTTACTGGCATTTCGCATATAATAAGATGACGCGCTGGAAAGAAAAACCAAGCCTCGTCCTCGCCGTATGTAATTCTATGCCTCGCTCCACCTTTCTCTCTTCTTCTTCTCCTTCGTCCTACACATCTCACCATACGTTTTGTTTTCGCCCACATGATAGAATACCATGGGTTCGCATGTCAACGAGCTGACTAGGTTCGAAGGTCTTGCCGATCTCAGTGCCGAAAAACTGCAACAGCTGGAGACAGTTTTCAAGTCAATTCTGGCGTTGCCGATCACCTGGGTCACCTATGCTCAGATTATTGATAGGGAAAGATCTTATGTAGACCCCCTTCGGAAACTCCCAACGAAGGTTGCTGATGTTAGCGATCATTTGAACCCCAGTGATGGGGCTACACACTATCACGAGGAGTTCTGGAAAGTCTTCACCGCGTAAGTCTTGAAGATCGACATATAGATTTGTTGGCGTTCTGCCTCCGCAGATTACCGTTTACGTGCTGACTTCGAAGTAGCTAGCGCAGAGGTGTCGAGATGCGTCGCTGGGTAGCCGTGGCAAGGCTGCCTGAAAAGAGGGAAGAGTCTTTAACAACCATGCCACACTGGGACTTGAGATTTTGGAAATTCCATCTGTTCATAGCTTCCCAGACGGGCTCGTGAAGTGTAATTCGAGTATCTGCAGATTATTTGACAGAAGATTCGGAGTTACTGTCCCGTAAATGCTCGCAAGCATCCACACTGAAAGCACGCTTCAAAATAGACACACAGAAACCACCCGTTTTCCTTCCCTATCTCCCTTGTGTCCGTTTCGTTTCGTCATACCAGCGCTGCCTTCTGGCGTTTGCCTCTCATGCAGCCTGGGCACGAAGGCCCGGTTGGAACGGAAGCTGAGCGAGAGCAGACTGGGGGCCGACGTCCACTTTCTGACAATGTCTTCGGTATTCGTCCATAACGATCCATCTCATTGGATCCGTGAGATTCACTGGGGGGTAGTGGTCGCCTATCCTTTCCATGGAGTCACGATCGACTAGAGGACCCTCGAGATGATAAGGAAAATGGAAATCTGATGGTTACCCTTGCTTAATAAGGAAGTACTGCACGGAGGGGAGATAGCTCACAGTAGCTAACGATGTCATCAATTGAATGCTGCGAGATTCGTCGGACACCGCCTTCTGTGAGGATATGAGGGATGCCGGGCTAGAACATACATCAGCTCACATATTAGAACAATAGGTGTAGAACCGCAAAGACAAATCATTAAAAGTACCTGGCCGCCATCATCGGAGTGATCACGATAGTATTCCAGTGTACCACCGAAAGCGGTTGTCTCCAGCCATCGGCCGGCCTCGCCGATGCCTCCGTTCGAGTATCCGCTAATGCGTGGTCCGATGTTAGGTGGAGTCAATGTTAGATCCTGGGTGAGAAAAGTCACAAGCATATGGGCCATCTCATGAAAAAAGGTGTTGGCGAACATGAAGATGAAGGTTCGGAAACGTTTATTTGCATGGTCGCTTGGGTTGCCAGTCCGGGCTGCGATGATGGCTGCCGTACCCATATCGCGAACTCTCTAAGTCATGGTCAGCTTTGCTTGACCATACAGTTTCTAGAGCCTGTCACGTACGGGTCCATTCAAGAGAATGCTCTGTTCGCGAGGGTGAAAGAAATTTCTCCATTCGCGTCTAGGGTGAGCGCCGAGGCAACTCGGGGAACCGATGGAGTCATCAATGTAGACAGTTGGGAAAACCATGAGTATGCTATTGATGAAAGTGAGGGTAACATCTTCTAGGGATTTGAATCCCTGCCGAGGATCATCGTACCAAGGTCTCGGTTGGGACCGATTGAATTCTCGGACGAGAGACACCAGAACAGCCCGAATCCTCGCAGTACGCAACATACCTCGACAGACGTTTATGGATGCTATGACACAAGAAGCCATGTTCGTCTCCGGTGGATAGACGAAGTCTGGCGCTCCGTGGGGATCCCGGTGGACAATAAGGAAAGGAACCAAATTCTGTGCCATGTTAGTCTCGTGCTGGGTGAAGAGTGAATGTTGGTTAATAAAGGATGAGCCTGAATGTTGGTGTATCAAGAAGAGGAAAAGAGGCCACATTTATATTTAGCATAACCTAATAACACAATTTACCGAGTAGAGAGTGTTGAGCAGAGCTCGGATGATAGTGACGAATTGGAAAGCTTGCTCAACTTTTGCCCCTGAAGTGATTATTTCTGCAGGGCATCATGTGTCCAGAGATCGACATACTGATATAGATGAGGTCTCATCCCCACGGTTCAAATTGCAGGATTGGTCTGGTTCAGCGCACCAGGTCGAAAGCACCAATAAAGGAACTTTGAGTCAGACGTAGACTTTGCAGCTTTTTGGGTCGGTGGTGGAGTGGCAAAACCCATTGAGCTTGATAGGTACAACAGTACACTGTCAAAGAGAAATTGCAGTCGTAGTTACACGATTTCAAAAATTGGCAACCTTGGTCTACGAGGAGCAGGCCATCCCCTTGTCGAAAGCTCTAGATGAGCTGGATCCATGCAATGACAATGGAAGCATTGGACATGATAGACAAAGATTGTGTCAACACCGAAATACTAGGAGCTTAGGACTGCCACATGATTTAGCAGGTTGCCCCTTCGTTAGTGGACTAGATTCAGCATACTGCACATTCCGGAGCATTTGCAAACGCGGGCGAGGCTCTCATTGCATGATAACTTCCGACCCTGCAGCCGCATCTCGCACTTGCGTTTCACGGGCTACGCCGCAGAATACAGAATATGCAGCCAAAAGATTGCTCGCATAAGCATCACGTGCACAACGTCCTGGGTGACATTCTAGCTCGCTTCCCTGCTATCTAGTGAATAATGGAGCCAAGCCCCTCACAACTATACGGGAAACGTGTAGTCGTGCGTGCGGAATGTTGGGTTTGGAAGCGCTGAGAAATCAGGATCAACCAAAGTACTGGGTGCTTTCTAGTCCCAGCGGCAACTTTCGGTGATCATGTCCAGGCGTCCAGCTGGTCAAAAAGAGCTGCGAAAGGAAGCGTTGTTTCCACTCTCGTGAAGGGATTGCAAAAAACGCCTCCATTGACGAGTAAGCGTGAGCGAGCACTCAGTTTGCACGGATAGAAACAGCTTATGTAATTAAAGATGACGTGTTGTCAAGGAATTGCCAAGACTTATTCTCGTCTACTTCGTGACACCTGAACTTCCGTTTTCCTCCCTCTTTTTCTCTTTCCTTCCAGCCTCATCTAGTTCTCTTCTCCAAGCCGTGAGAGTCACAACGGAAACAACATGTTTTCGCAAGTTACGGAAACTCCAAGATTTGCTGAGCTTGCCAATCTCAGTATCGACAGGTTGAAACAGCTGGAGACTACTCTAGCGTCTATTCTAGCCTCACCGAATGCTCAAGACACGTATGCTCAGATCATCGATGGGAGAGCCACTTGGCAGTCCCATGTAGACCCAAACACCCGTGGATTCCCAAACGAAACTATCATTGTCAGCGATCATCCAACCCCCAGTGATGGGGCCATGCAGCTATACGAAGAAATCAGAACAGTCTTTACACCGCAAGCTTTGAAGATCGACGTGCAGGTGTGTCCAACCTCCCATCTAACAGGCGTTTACGCAGGCGCTGACTCGGGGATAGCTAGCCCAAAATTACCAAAATGCACCGCTGGGTAGCCCTGAACACGACCTGCGCCTGCTGGAGATAACAGCAGCTTCACTGAATGCACTAGCTGGAATGATATATGCATCCTTCCATCCAGAAACAGTACTTAAGCCCCAAGAGTCACCATCAGCCCAACAGGATCTTCTATTTTTTGAGACAGATCAATTCTACGTCGATTTTTACCACACAAAGTACAAAGAATTCGAGAGATACCCATTCGGCTTATTGAACGTGGTGGGCTATTGGGCCGAAACCCAGCTCTTCGGCGGTGTGTTGTTGTTTGACCGTGGAGAATCAGGCCGGGAGGTTGGCTTACACCGCCGGACCTCATGCGATACCGCAGCTCCTTGCAGAATCTATGCTAATTGAGACTAGATCAACAACGCCTTTTTGCATCCACCAGAGGTCTTCTATTGCTACCAACTCTCTTCGCACCAAATCGCATGTTTCTCGACTCTGAGCAAACCAAAAGAGGCCGGTCAGCTTTCTGGCGCAGAAAACCCCCTTCCGTTCACCCAAGAACCAAACGCCCACCTTGAGAACACCTGGGTTAGGAAAGGGGAAGCACCGCTTCGTATCTACAAGAACGACTATGACAAGCCGCCACCTTCGTGGGTTCCGGCACATCCGAGCTGTACGCAAACTCACGATGAAGGATTGTTGGTATCGTTTGACGAGGCGAGGGGGATCGTAAAGGAAAAGGGTTGGGACAGACTCGAACCTCAGGACTACGATCTTGTGGCGCTTCAGAACTCCCACCCGTTTCTCAGCAACATGTACCCAGTGAGAGACGATGCCTCCAAATGAAGCCTATGATGTAAGGCAAGACATGGCTTTAGACGGCCGAAACATTCTCTTCTACTTGATTCATAGCGATAGCGGCAACATGAATATGTCCACTTACCCTGCGATAACGCTTTTCTTACACTTGAACGGCCTTACGGTATTGTCTCCCGCTGGGCATCTGGGGTTCTCTGACAGGCTTTGACTCCAGACCTCGGGCTCGTTGTTTGCTTTTGGCGGCACATTCAGTGAAGCATCTCGGAAAGTTGACCACCCTGCGGATAGAAGCAAACTTCTGAGAGTAGTTTCGGTCAACGCTGCAAGGCGGCTACGTGTAACTCTGATAAGGATAGAGCTAGACCCACACAACTTCATGCTACATGTGCACCCCTGAGACTTGATAAACCCCGGCAGCTTCCGCGTAGAATCGCACTGTTCATTGAGAGACCTTTTCTGCGCCAGTCCAATACCGCAACACATGTCTTCTCGCAACGTGCGTCCCATGTAAGCTTACATACTGTTAAACCAAGAGAGGACGTGTCTGTTTGAGATCTGGCGCGCCAGAAGAGTGCAAGGGTCGGTGCGTGTAGACGAAGATCCTCGAAGGGAGGGAGTACGTTTAGCTCTGTCACAAAGTATTGCGTCGATCAGCCCCTAGTCAAAAATGATTCGGTGTGCCCGCAATGCCAAGAATTGGAGTTGAAGTAGAGGTTTATATACTTGGACAATGTTGTTGGAGTCCTCTCATGCAGGCACGTTGTCAGAAAGGGATGCTTTTTGTCGTGATATTATCATACATGATTCCCGTTTTACCTGCAATGGAATTGTTTTTGGTGCGTTTAGTTTTCTTTATTCAAGATTCTTTGATAGAAAGTGCAAGACTTTTGGTTGACAGCCACCACCATGTGCGAAATGAAAAGATATAGAGCTCTGTCCTGTTGGCCTATGGGGATTGTGGAACCTCTCTATGCATGCATGACCTTCGCTCCATTCTCTTGTGAGTAGCAAACAACTATATGTAATCTAAAATCGCCACTGTCTTAGCCATAAATCCATCCATTGCCTGTTCACGGGCTCGAGTTCCCTCATCCTTTTGCTCCACTTGCTTGTCTCTTTGGTGTCAAGCTTGACATTGTCGCGGCCCGAGGCACGTTGGCGCACGAGATCTGCGAGCCAGCCTAGAAGTTTCACGGCCGGATTTTTATCGTCGGCACCGGAATCCCCCGTGGTGCTCTGTTCGAGCGCCTGCACCCACTCGGCCAACGAGACAACGCGCAGTTGATTGGCGGAGTATTCTTGCACAACAGGAAGTAAGTCCGGCCAGGTAGCGTCGTGCGGATTCACGACGTGGTAGTACGCCACGTGTCCTCCCTTACCCTCAGCGTCGGGGTTTACAGCATGGAGAGTATGCTCCGCTAGCTCGAGCACCACGCGCGCGCAGTGATCGACAGGAACCCAGTCGATGATCCCACCCACATCGTCGGGCAGCATACCGAGGTGTTTCGAACTCGCAAGGACCGAAGGTAGCCATTCTTGCTTACTCCACATCCCGCGCTCCCCATCAGTGACTGGGCCTGCGATTTGGCCGACGCGTAAAATAGCGACGTTTACGTCCCACTGCTGGGCAGCGTATTCGAGGATCTTGTGAGCAGCTAGTTTGCTGGAACCGTAGCCAGGGGTGCAGAGGGAGAGGTCGTTGGCGTGGGAGGATTCTGGGACGAGGGTGTTGCTGGTGTTGGTGGAGGGCCAGTTATAGACCGTTGCGACGCTGGAGGTGAAGACGAGAGGGGCGTGGGAGGATGTTGAGGCGGCGAATTCACAGAGGTTGCGAACGCCGGCGATTTGAGGCTCGAAGGAGAGGAGGGAAAGGTTAAAGTCGACTTGCCATTGGTTGTCTCCAGAAAAATGTTAGCGTTCACTCGAGAAAGAAAATTAGCAACGGAGGGCATGGATGGCAGATTTGTTTGTGTAATGAGATTGGAGACCTAGGACTCACGGATTATTTGATCCACGCTACCTAGCATTTCTTGATAAACATTTTCTTTGAGGCCGAGAAATTGATTGGCTAGGTTTGCGGCAAGGAACGTTGCTTTATCAAAGTTGGTCGATAGTCCTTTGGTGATATTGGACCTGCTCTGTCTCGCTTCACTGTCCAGGCCTCGGTTCAGGGAATAGACTTTGGAAACCCTTGAGTCTGCTAGGAGTAGATCCATAATGTAAGAACCCAAGGAACCCGTGCTGCCGGTGAGAAGAACAGTAAGGCCTTTGTGAGTGGTCTCTGATGCGTGACTTGGCGAGATTATCGCCGGGGTCGTATACTTGTCCACCAAGCCTTGGAACACTCGCTCATGGCTGTCTGTTCCGGCGTGTCCATTCTGCAGCTTGACGTTGAAGGACTGGAGGATAACTGTGGAAAGCAGATTAAGGCTTGG